AGTTGCTGAAAAGTTATTAGTTGAAATGGTGGTTTTAGCTGAAGATATGCTGAAGATATTAAGATGTGAAAATTTTTCCCATTCATTTGAATGGGGCAAAATCTGCTGAAAAAAGCTAAATATAGTATAGTAAATATAGTATAAATGTTACAAACAATAAAAATACAAAAAAAAAACAGGAATGTCCTTAATGAGTTTAATATTTTGATACCTTAATGGCTTTTGTAGCTGAAAGTATGCCGAAGAAATTAAGTGCCAAAAAAACGGACGGAAGAAATCAGAAAAATAAAAAAAGAACAGGATAACATTGTATGGATGCTTTACAGTATCCATACAATAAGAGGAAAACATAGTGTGGATGCTACAGCATAAAGAACAATAATAAAGAACAATAATAAAGAACAGGATAACATAGTGTGGATGCTTCACAGCATCCCCACAATAAATAAGAGGAAACATAGTGTGGATGCTACAGCATCCACACAATAAGGAAAACATAGTGTGGATGATACAGCATCCACACAATGAATAAAGAACAGGAGGGCATATTGTGGATGCTTTACAGCCTCCACGCAATTACTTTGTTCACGTTTGTGCTAGGGCTACTACTACTTTGAGTGAAAAGGTCGGACATTTATACAATGTATCCATAACTTAAAATAGGCAATTAAATTGTCCCTCCATTACTTCTGATTTAATGGTTTACTCATTATGTTTAGCTAACCATTTCACTGTTTATTCACTACATTAACTATTTGGCTTCATCTGTGTCTTGAGCTAACTATTTCAGTTTATCCGTTATTTTTTTAGATACTGTTTAACATTTTTAACATTTTATTCATTATCTTTAGCTAAAGCAATCTTAGCTAGCTGTTTGATTTTATCTCTGGCCCCATTGGTGTATATCCATTGTTTTGGTTAGATATAGCTGGAACTTTTTCAGCTGTTTATTTATCACTGTTAGCTCCTTTACAGTTTTAATTTTTACTTTTAACTAGTTATTTGTTTATTGATTGGTGAGATAGTTATTTAGTTAACATCACTTCTCACTTGTTAACTTCAAACACTCAACTGCATGTGCTATGATCACCATCACACTAATTTGAAATCCCATTCCTAATCCAATTTGGTCATCTATTCTCTTCCTTAAACATGTGGATATATCTCTTAAATAAAAAAAAATTCAGCTGAGCTTCCTTTGTACACACTGACAACTGAAGAAGTACCACTGCGGTACAAGTACAGCATCAAATCATCTGTGATGTTAATTGTGTTTGTTGAATGCCATGAGACAACTTCTGACTTTGCCACATTTTTATGTAAGCACGATGCCATATATTTTGATATCAAACAAACACAGGAGAATGCAATGACAAGCTTGACACACACCACAAACATACATGGATGTAGACATACATGAACACACATTCAGTAACCTACCCATGACAGATGATCATGCAAAACCAGCTTGCTGAAAGACATACTTGAATAGTGAACTACATAATTCCATATACATTGCATATAGCTCAGGCACATGTCTTTTTCAGACATGAACGTTTGCTTGAGGCCAAGGCCTGAGAATGACTAGAAAACTGCATATAATCCATGAGTCTTTGATCCTTGGACTTGGCTGTGTCAAAAACAGCCAGCCAGCCAGTGTGGAGGCCCTCCGCTACATCGGAAGCTTGTGGTCTGGGACAGCTCCATTTACTACTCAGTTCTGGTGCTAAATATACAATAATAAAAAGGTTGGCAGATTTATTTCAGACTGTGATATATTTCCTCTCCAGCAAGGGAAGATAGGACTAAGCGAGAGACAGATGTCTCCAGGTCACTAAAGAACATTAAGTGATAATTACAGAGAGAGAGAGACAGAAAGAAAGAGACAAGGTTCCCCCTCTTCCAGTTCTTTTCCTTTTCCTCTGCCACCACAGAGGACAGTGGTGTCGCTAAATTAAAGAGGGGCGCCCACTGTATTAGACTTCTAATGACTGGCTATGATTGCATTATTTGATCTCATGAGGGATAAAAGGCCAGCAACACACATACTCCTACGACATGCCTGTGTTTCATTGTTCAATGATCACCGCCTCCTCAGAAGTCAAACATGGCTTAAAAAAAAACTTTAAACATGTAACCATAAACACATATATGACACAAATTCAAACTTAAAAAAAACTTTTTCAAGTCATGTCTTCTGAAACACATACACACACTCAATGTACTCGACTTCACCACCAGTCTACCGCACTCCTCTCAAAGAGTTTTGATCCCTGGTTGAGGGTCCTCTCCGTGGTGCCTCTGTCTGAATTCCAGAGATTCTGGGATAATTCAAACGTTTCACGACACATACTTGGTCCCCCCAGGAGACAGCAGCAGAAATGGAAAAAGCCACCACGCTGCCAGGCTCTCTCTCCCTCCATTGTCTTTACTCTTTAATCAGGCCCTTTCTGTGGCTCACGTTGCCACCGTGGTGTGTTGTCTCAGCCTGGGAAAATGCCGGCCTAAGTGACTGTTATGTGCTGAGGCGAAGACCACAAGGACCCAGAGGGGTGCTGCTAGAGCCCTGTGTGCCAGCCGTGGGTCTCAGAGTGGCTGACACACATAGTGAGTGGGGTCCCAAATCTGGATGCCACCTTACATAACAGCCATCCCTACATACAGTAGACATCTATTTACTTTTAAAACTTCTATCATTAAATCACAGGCCATCATAATTATAGGAGTAAGCTAAAACCCAGCCATAAATCATGAATAATATTTGTCCCTAAGAGGTCACTTGGTGTAAACCATCATGAAACTGCCACACACATGGGGCAGTATTGTAGAAACTCCAGTGTGATTACTTGGCTGTGAAAGGCCGGTGGAGCAAGTGGTTCCTACCTTATGTCCTTAAATGAGTAAAACAAAGGCCTTGTGTTTCCCTGAGTCACAGAGAGAAGAAGATTAGGAACCAGCACTACCCCAGAGTTCAGCCCATTTTAGCTTGTTTTGTACAGGCTTATATTAGGACAGGGTAGTCGGGTCAGCCAACAGCTGGCCTGCCTTCAGCCAGACACAACGCTCCATCAGGTCAAGCTTACAAAGATTAATTCAAACCCTGCTGGTTTATTCTTGTTTATAATCAGTGCTTATATGTGTGTATACAGCTTTTATGAGTGCCATAAATTTAATTCTCAAAAGAGGGTGAGTATGGCAGCTCATGTACGCCTACCCCGTGGTTTCAGTAGGCCACCACCAAGCCTTTGTATTCACCCTGTTTGTCATGGGAAAATATGTGAAACAAATGTTGCCTGGTCAGCTCTCATCAGTGTAAAAACCATTTTTAAGAGCTGTGGATTGTGCTGAGAGGGTGTGGCACAGCGCTGAGGGAACTCCTTGTTTACTTTTGCTGTGTCCAAAAATAAAAAAGGAAACTATTTTTTCTTTGAAATGAAAGTCAAATAAATATATGTTTTTGAGCAGACAGTGTAGGTAGGCATGAGCTGACTGTAACAAGCTGTTCCTCCAGAACATCATCAGCAACATCATCATCAATTAATGAATTAAAGATGTACTTTATAGTTTTATAATCTAAATGATTCCATGAATCTATCCTCTAATTAGCCAGTTTATGTGTCTCTATAGCAAAAATGTTATTTTTATTAAGTCCATCTGGAAACTTGTGGGTTATTTTGGAGGTCAATTTGTACATTTGTCCCAATTTTAAAGATGCACAAATAGATAAATGCAAAGCAGTGTGACTTCAATTGATCACCTGCAAATAGCACTTGCTTAACTTTGATGTTTGACATTTTCATTTTTGTTTAGTTGATCACAGTTGAGAGTGATCAACTAAATAAATATTGTCAAAAATATCATTTAAGGGATGCGCAGAATTAAAATTTTCTGTTAATATAATTAATTTGTGTCAATGCCTTGCAGCTGCCAGCTAACAATCACCAAAGGGGAGAAAAGAGTACCCATAACTATTGTCTGAGACAAAAAATACACTATATTACAACAAATGAAGGCTAGTTCTACATTTGATTGTACTTCATATATTACATTTTATTTCAAACTTAGACTAAACAAATTAATCAATTTGGGTCCAATTAATACTGCCATGTAGTAGAGTTATACCATAACTCAAAGAAGATGAAATACACACTCTGTATAAAAGAATACTTTAATAATCCTATAAAACACTGAAAACTCCATCACTTAGGAACTAAAAGAAATCTGCATCTTGCTTAAGAGCAAGTTGTCCCAAACATTACTTGGTGTCAATCCTGAGACATTTTATGATCTCACGCTTTAAAAATCAATCATTACCCTCTAGTAGAGCATTTTATTAGTGATGGAAAGTAACAATTTTATTGTACATAAATAGAGTTTATATTTGTACTTCACTTTTTTCTCTTTTATAGTAGGCTACTACTTTGTACTTCTAAACCATTTCGGAGAAAACTAGCTCTTTTTTACTCTACAACTCTACAGTACTCTGGTAACTAGCTGGTGTTACTTCTTTGATTTTCCATAAAAATGTGATTAACTTATAAAATGTGATTAGAGGTACAACTAATGATTTTCTTTTTTGATTAATCTTGTGATTACTTTCTTGTTTAGCCTAATCGTTAAGTCAGTAAACAAATGGGGCTCATTTTGAGCCTGGGAGTTTCATGCCCAAAACTTATATTCCAACTTTAACTTATTTATTACTTTTATTTTAATGTGTAACACAATGAGTTTTCTTTTGTGTCAAATGTGCTATATAAATACAATTGATTTGACCTTCATTATTTATGTACCAATTTATTTAAATATTTATTAATTTATTTAATAACATCGTATTTTATTGTATTAATTTTATTTTTGCATTGAAATTTTAATGCAGGACTTTTATTTATAGCAGCGTATTTTACACCTTGTTTCTTTCTTTCTTTTTTGAATACATCTTCAAAAACGACTTTTTTATAAACACGAAGTCCCTGAACGCACCATAGAGGCTTGACCAGGCCACGCCTTCATCGCCACCGATTGGACAGAGTAAAACCTCATTGTTTGTCGACAGCGGAAAATGTTGGCTTATGTGTCGTGCTAATATTTATTCTTTACGTTAAGGTGAAGATTTTGTGACGTTTAGACCCATAATTAAAGGTGAGACCATGTTCTATGTTGTTTTTATCTCGAGGTGTGTTTGTCTTTTCTTGGTGACGTTTGGTCAGTGTCGACGCCGACTTGCTACTTCGGGGTTAGCATCACAACCTAACACGTTAAGTAAACAGTAGAGCTATGTGGCAGATTCATTACCTGTTATAATGCTATTTTCGGTTTAAGGTTGTACGGTTGAGCCCCAACAACCTTGTCGTTTGGGGTATTAACCGTTGCCTCATCTCAGTGGTTAAGACACACCTAATGGATAAGGTTAAGTATCTAAGGTTTTATTTCTTAGCCTATTACCCATTTTGACTGTGTAACGTTATTGTATTAAAACATTTATGTACTCTACGAAAGTGGAGAAATTGCCACCTAAACAACATGTACAAATCATGTGCCAAACGAGTTCATAAATTACTTTAAAAACAAATGTTTGACACAACAGAACAAAATAATCCCATGTGAACTTCTGTTGTTCATATTCAAATGGGTACACCTATAAATGACTCTCTCTTATCTCTTCTCTCTTTCTGGCGGAATCAACTGAGGTGTTGTCATGGAAGTGCCTTGCTACCTGCCCAAACTGCTCTTTGAGCTCAATGAGCAGCGTAAGCGTGATTTCTTCTGTGACTGTAGCATCCTCGTTGAGGGACGTGTCTTCAAGGCTCATCGTAATGTGCTCTTTGCTGGAAGTGGCTACTTCCGGGCTCTTCTGGTTCACTATCTGCAGGTGAGATGAGGTGATACCAGCCCTCTCCAGTGGTTTATTTATTTTTAAATAGTTGCTGACCAAGGTTAGAAACCAGTGTAATGAACTAGCGCAGATAATGTATACTGATTGGTCACTTTATTAGGTACACCTGTACAGTTGTATGCACTTAAATGCAAACTTAAATGCTTTAACATCTGTGTTTATGAACCTCACACCGTTCCAGTTTTTGGTGAAATTGTCATAAATGTATAAATTCAATTATATGTTTATTATTAAAGTCATAGTTAAACGTGGTGTTGTACTGAGCTACACTATATAAAGGTGTAAGAGGTGTTCCTAAAATTCTGACCCTCTCATGTTTGTAGCTGAGGAGGACAAAAATATGACACCTCTAAATATAATGCAATCCAGTACAACACCACCTTTAACTATGAACTCAATAATAAACATATAATTGAATTTATACATTATACATCTATGACAATTTCACCAAAAACTCAAACATTTTGACCTTCATGAACACAGATGATAAGGTGGAAGTGTTACACTGAACTGCATACAATTGCACAGGTGTACCTAATAAAGTGGCCAGTGAGTGTAATTGTAATTGCTTTATTTTCTTTGATACCCTAAATGATTAAATAAATATGAGTTACTATGAAAGCAGCTTGGAAGAAATAATAAATATCAAGTAAATAATTTTGACTGACAAAATATATATATTTCCTTTCAGGATAGTGGTCAACGCCACAGCACAGCATCGCTGGACATTGTAACAGCTGATGCTTTCTCAATTATCCTGGACTTCCTCTACTCTGGCTGCTTGGCTCTAAATAGAAGCAATGTCATCGAGGTGATGTCAGCAGCCAGCTACCTGCAGATGACTGATCTTGTCAACTTCTGTAAAGGGTATATATGCTCATCTTTGGAAATATGCCACAAGGAGGAGAGAAACACAGAGGAGGTGGACCAGGCGCAGGATGGAGGGATTGGTCCTGCAGACAGTGGTACTCCTGCTGCAACGGTCTCCAATGGTGCAGGTGCTGCAGAGCCTCATTCACAGGTTGCAGAGGCAGACAGGGGGTCATGTTTAGGTCCAGAGTCTCTGACTTCAGCTAGAACGCCCTTGTCTGTCTCTATCACCACCCCTCCAGGCACCAGCAGGGACATGGACAGTGATTACCATTCCGGGGGGCAGTTTGCATCTGGGAGTGAAGGACAGAAGGGACACATAGATCAGACAAACTTATCCTCCTCATCATCCTCTGCTTTGACCCCAGAGTTAGTGAACCCTAAAATAGAATATGACCCTGATGAGGAAATTATGGAGTCCCCTGAAACCAAAGACATAGCCTCATATCCTGGGCCCTCTCTGCATAATCCTCATCATAGCAGGCTACTTCCCTCAAGTGCTTCTCCTGCCAATGAGCGTTCCCCACTGGGATACAACCCTTCCTTTAATGCCAGGCAGTTGATGGAGATACTGGCCAGAGGTGAAGGCCCCAGTCTTCTGGGGGACAGAGTGGGGCAGCGCTTTACCCACGGATTAGGTAGCAGTACAGCAGGAGGCAGAATGGATGAAGGTTTAGGTTTTGTTGGATCATCTATCATGGAGATCCAGTCTGACTGGCTTGGAGAAGATGCAGGTAATTAGCAGTATCAGGTTAAGCTTATGCAAATGACCTAGGGTGACCTATATTTAATCATAGGCATAAAATTCATCTTGAAACTAATATTGGTTGCATTCGTTAAATTCTCAAGCAGAAAGTAAGAGTCAACATTTTGCTGTGCTGCTCTATTTGGGTAGAATTGAACTGTTGGGTTCTCTCTCCCCCTGCAGGTGATGGCTTGGTAGTGCCAGTGAAACTCCACAAGTGCCCGTTCTGCCCATACACTGCCAAGCAGAAGGGCATCATGAAGAGGCACATCCGTTGCCACACAGGAGAGAGGCCCTTCCCCTGTCCCATGTGTGGTAAGAGGTTCACAAGACAGGAGCACCTTCGCAGCCATACGCTCAGTGTAAGAATTCAGTGTAGCTGTGACTACATAAACATTGCATTTTGTCAAACAAGCAAACTGGTTTTGAAATGTCAGTTATTATTTAAATTACAGAGGAACTACCTGGGTATAATTGCTAGCAGTTACAGTATTGTTCAAAATAATAGCAGTACAATGTGACTAACCAGAATAATCCAGGTTTTTAGTATATTTTTTATTGCTACATGGCAAACAAGTTACCAGTAGGTGCAGTAGATTCTCAGAAAGCAAACAAGACCCAGCATTCATGATATGCACGCTCTTAAGGCTGTGAAATTGGGCAATTAGTTGAAAGGGGTGTGTTCAAAAAAATAGC